TTCCCATCTAAGTTCTCACTCAGGCTCACTCCTTCCCAGAGAAGAGAAACTGAGAGGGCTGCCAATCTTGTGGGTGGAGAAACTGATGCCCGAAATGTGTCACTGGCTTGCCCACAGGGAGTAGCTGGAAGCTCAAAGTTCAGCTTCGAGATACTTCTTCTGGCCTTTGGAGGGATGGCTTGGGACTCAACAAAGGAAGCTACTTGCCCTATCCCTGAACCCTCAGCCCACTGGGGTAACCAGCCGCCACCTCGTCTGCTAATCAAGGCCACAGCTGAACTTCTGACACCATTTCTAGGATGATATTTTCCAGGGAACTGTCAGTTCCCTCCCCTCACCCAACTCCCACCTAGAAATTTTCATCTCCTGATAGACACAATTACATTTTGGATCTCTTTCAACTGGGAAGGGTCTTTCTTGTTTTTCCTTTTGCATGAAAGTGGTGCCCCTTGACCTTGAACCTGCTCTTGAACCCCTGGAGTTGGCTCAATCTTCCTCATCCTCCATAGTGCTGTCCACGGGGAGCAGACATTGGATTGAAAATGTCCCCTGCCTCTTGTCCCCTACAGCTAAGAGGAAGGAAGGGAGCAGCCAACTACTGTCTTTGAAACCTCCGTCCCCCACTCCTGTTATTATGGGTCATGTGCACTCCATTACACCCAATCTTGTTCTTTTGGGGTCCTCCAAATTCTGCATTCTTTGGGGTGTCATCTAGGTGTCCCCAGCAGAAGGCAGAGGCTGTGGGGGGTTCCATCATTTGAGCTCGGTTGGGTTTTGCCTATAAAAGTTACAGTCTTTTGGAGCACCTGGGCGACTCAGTCATTAAGTGTCTGCCTTCAGCTCAGATCATAATCCCAGGGTCCTGGGATCAAGTTCCACATCTGGCTCCCTGCTCAGCGGGGAGTCTACTTCTCCCTCTCCCACTCCCCCTGCTTGTGTTCCCTCTATTCCTGTCTCTCTCTCTCTCTCAGTCTGTCAAATAAATAAATAAAATCTTAAAAAAATTAAAAAAAAATCTTACAGTCTTTTGAGCTGGAGACAGAGCCTGCAGACAGAGCCTGAAATGATTTTACACGCCCCCCATTATATGAATGAAAAACACGTTCCCATGCTGCTGACCATGCACAGAAGGTGGAGCAGTGCCCAGCAGGGGACTCAGTCCCACTGCTTCCCTGGAACCCGCAGAGCAGAGGGCTCGGTGTGTGCAGATACCCAAGGACGCGCTCCCTTGGCAGAAAACTTTCACTCAGAAGTGGACAGCAAGATTACACTTTAGTACACACGAGAAAGTCGAGGCAGGTCCTGGGAGGGTGAGAGCTGTCCAAGGTCCTAGAACAGAGGTCTAGGATCCCAGCGCTGTTGTAGGTGGGAATCCAGAGACTAGAGTTCTGCGCCCGTCCTAGGTCCTGAGGGGCTATGGCCGAGCTACGGCTCACTACCCTCCCCCATCTGTGGGAAGTGTCAAGTCTGCCCACAGCAGCCACCGAGCCTTTCTGTCACAGCCGAGCTCACCTGTGGTGTGCGCTGGGTCCTGGCATGTGTGGCACATTCGGTGGAATCCTTTTACTCAGACCCACTCAGAAGCCGGAGCATTTGTGTTCCAGAGGCTAATCAACCTCTCCTGGGCTGTATTTGCATGCAGGCACGTATTCACGGAGTGTGGGATACCGGTCAAGACTGGGGGGACTGCCAACCAGCTCCGTGCCCTCGTCAGGAAGATGGGCTCAGCTGGAGGGGCCACCTGCCAAGGAAAAGAGCCCGGGGCCTGGCTGGGCTGACTCCCTCCACCCCCACACTCCCCCTACCTGCCCTGCAGTTCTTAAGATGGAATGCCATTTCCCCTGCTTTCCTCTGCCCTTTATCCACTTGTGGTGGTGAATTCACTGTGTCAGCTCGGCTGGGCCATGGGGCCCAGATATTATTCTGGCAGTTTCTGTGGAGGTGGGCTTTGGATGAGATTAACATTTCAATCGGTGGACTCTGAGTAAAGCAGATCACTCTTTAGGACATGCTGGGCCTCGTCCAATCGGTTGAAGTCCTAAATAGAAAAAAGACGGACCCATCCTGAGCAAGAAGGAAACACACCAGCAGACCACCTTCAGACTCACACTGCAACTCTCCCCTGAGTCTGTGGGCTGTTGGTCTCCTCCATCTGACTTTGTATTTGCTCAGCCTCTGCCACCATGGACACCAATTCTTTAAAATAAACCTCCCCATGTATATCCCATTGGTTCCATTTCTCTGGAGAACCCTAATATATGGCTTTTGTTCAGGAAAGGAGAGGGGCCAAACATGAAGGAGGGGGCTCCCCTGCCCCATCACTGGGAAGCTGGTGGCATTTATGGATTTGTCCCCAGTGCCTTCCCATTGACTCCGTCCACAGCCCTGGTAACAGACCATTCCTCTGAAGGTCATCTGGTGGGGCAGGGGGTGTCCCTGAGTCACCCCCGGGGCTGGGAGTTCCACGGGGGAGGGAACTGGCAGTTTCGGAACTGTTCCTGCGTGACCACTGGTTGAGCGCTTTTATTTCAGAATATATCATCAGACTTCAGTGTATTACCCTCCCTCTCCAAGTTTTTGAAGGTGAGAAAAAAATCTCAGTGTGTTTTCTTCAAGTGCTTGAGGAAATCAGCAAGTGCATTGGGAAAGGACCCTAATTATAATTTCTGAGTTTATACACTTTAATATTTGACTAAAGCCTTTGATTGTGGAGAGACGCTGCAAATAGTCCCCCCAGTTCTGAGACCAGCAAAGAGACAGAAAGGAAGCTGTAATCATTGTGCTATGATTGATCTATCCCCCATCCCTCGTGAGGGAGGACAATGACCCAGAACCTGACCTAAGATAAGCATCAACTACACCTTCCCAAGGCACGAGGTGCTTGACTTAGCAGCCCAGGCTCCAGGCCAATCAAGGCTCATTCTAATGATGAAACAGTCAACAATCAGCTCGTGTTTGGCAGTGGGTTCTATTTTTTCCATGTGCACACACAAGCCTGGCACAGTGACAGAGAAAGGGAGTTTAAGGAACAGAAAAATACATTTTAGGAGGGTAGTTACATTGACCAAAACGGGAGAAGGGCACATCTAAACAACCGTCCAGTTTGGAAATGCTGCCCACTGGTCTGCACGTATACTACCTGATTCTTTTCCTGCAGAGGAGAACGCGGTTTCCGTCCGGGTTTACGGTCACTATCAGTTTCGAGGCAAGGCTCGAAAAGTCACATTGGATGGCAATCTGGAGCTTTCCTAGCAAGGCTGAATCACTAGAGTTGGGGGCGGGTGTGTGGAAGAGGTTGGCTTGGGGATCATTTGGACCAAACCCCTCAGAGCAGATGGGGTTGCCCAAGGATCCATGTTCAGATGGTGGCTGAACAGGGACCACAACTGTCTTCTTGAATCTTCCCCTCTACTGTGCTGTGAGCAAGTAGAACAGTCCAGCTACAAAGTGACCTGCCTGTACCTGCTAGTTGCATGCCTGTCCCCCCACCCCCAAGTTCTATGTTGAGCCCCTCACCTCCAGAACCTAGGAATGTGACCGTGTTTGGAGACAGGGCCTTTAAACAGGGGATGAAGTTCAAATCAGGCTCTGAGGACGGGCTCTAATTCAATCTGACTGGTGTCCTGCTGAGAGGGAATGTGGACACCAGGGATGGACACACAAGCATGGCAAAGACTGTGGGAAGATATGTTGAGAAGATAGCCGCCATCTGCAAGCCAAGGAGAGGTCTCAGAAGACAGCGGATCTGCTGCCATCCTGATCTCGGACTTCTGGTCTCCGGCACCATGAAAGCCTGGCCTTGTTTTGCTACTCAAAACCTCAAAACCGGAAATGCACACACTGAGAGGGAGCCTGGAGAACTTGGGCAGTGGGGAGGTGGGGGGGGGTGGTCACGTCCTGCCCTGGGCCTTCCACTGATCCCTCCGCTCCTGGCCCCCGTGGACTTCATGCAAGGTGCTTGGTACCTCCCAGCTCAAGTTTGCTACTAGGAAAATGGGCATCACCCTCCCTCACCTTCTGGAAGGATCTGGCTGCCTCCATATGTCCCCAGTCCAGGAAGCGGATAGTGCCCTGTGTTAGGATTAAATGACAACCCCCGTATATTCATGGGCACCCACAGGAGAGCCCCTAGTTCTTTCCAAGGCTGGCTTTTTTTGACTCAAAATGCACCAAGTGTCGCCAAATCTAGCTCCAAATCCCAGGCAGCCTCTTTAAAAGCTGCCTTCTACTTATGTGGTATAGATGTGTATCTACATGGTCAGAGTTTAGGGCCTTGGACCGGAAATACTGCCCATGTGAGCAGGGACAGTATCCCCAGGGCCTCATAATACTAACAGTGCCTGATAATACTAACGGGGACCTGCCAAAGCCTGACGTTCTCCTTGTCAGAGTCACTTCTTGGGTTAAGGCATTAAGGACCCCTGTTAAGTATGTTATAGGGGGCCATACATATTAAGACATCATCAGCCATTAACACCTCTTTGTGACTTCATCAGAGTGGCCTCAGACCCACTCTTTCGCCCTTAGGGACCAAGACCCCAGGCAGCTAAGTCCTGGTGGAAAGAAAGGAGGGATGATTCAGAGCCTATCGGGCAGAGGGGGGAGATGGAGAGCACAGAAAGGTGTGCTGTGTGGACGGGGGTGGGTAACCAAAAAAGATAAAGGATTTCACAAGGAATGCTGCTTGGCAATTCTGAACCAGCTGGACCTCCATAGGAGAGTCCCCTTTTTGGCCTGATGGCCCAGATCATGAACAGGAAGGCCAGGCTAGTTGGCAGGCACACAAGTCCTACTGGGTGTGTGTAGGGAACTTGGCCTGCGGCCATGAAGTTGGGCGCTTAGGGACAATTACACAGCTGGAACTGCCACCTCTCCCTGGAAAGGGGAGAGCAGTGGGAGTGATTGGCACTCAGGAGGCGGGGCTACGCTCGCGCTCTCGGCCAATCAGCTTGCCCTCTGGCTCCGGATGCGGGACACCCAGCCTGGGGCGGTTGGAGCTACTCTGGGGGGGAAGATGTGGAGACAACATGGGTCGAGTGACAACAGCGAAGCTTGGGGGCAGCCTGGGCTTGTCAACCAAGGGCCTGGGGCTGCCAGGCCATCGGGGGAGCACGGGAAGGGCTCTCTGGCTGTCCACCGTCCAGGGAGGGAGGCGGTGAGGCTCAGCAGGGGGACGAGGACATCTGGTCGTAGTCGGGGCACTTGAGCAGGGCTGGGTAGTTGCTGTTCATCTGCAGGGAGGCGTCGCTGGAGATGTCGGAGGGGCTGCGGCCCCGGACCCAGGCGTCCGGGTGTAGGAACTGGCCTGAGTAATCGGAGCAGTTGCTCAGACGAGGCCGGTAGAAGCCGGGGTGCGGCCGGTACATGTCCTCGGCAGTGTACCGCTTCATGAACAGGTACACGGACATCACTCCGGCGCTCTGCCGGGAGGAGGGGGCAGAGCGCTCACTGCCGGGGGCCTGGCCTTGCTCTCCGGCTGGGGCTGGGGTCTGCATGGGGCGGGGGGAGGCCAGCAGAGCCGCTGGAGCGGGGAGGGGATGTGGATAGGGGTGGGGGGACAGAGCAGGGATGCCCGGGAGGAGCCCCCACCCCGACCCCCGGAAGGTGGGAGAGTCACACCTTGTGGGGAGGAAGAAGGGCAGCAGAGTGGGTGGGGCCGGGGTGCTTGTCCAGACCCTGCTCCCCCTGGGCAGTGCCCCGCCCCCACCCCACCTGTGGGGAGGTTTACCTCGGTCAAAAGGAAAGAGATGGCAGCGAAGGCAAACGACCAGCCATACTTGTAGTTGAAATAGGTCTCTGCGTCCTTGGTCCTGTTGAGCATCTCGTCGTTGATGCTGGAGATGTAGAGCACCAGGCCCACCACCAGAGAGAGGCCTGTGGCAAGGCAAGGGGGTGCTTGGTGAGCAGGCCTCGGGGGTTTGCTGATGGGGCACCCATCTCCCCTTGGGGTTCAGGCAATAATGCTCTCATTTGGGGCTTGAAGGTGAGCAGGTACTGTCCTCCTAAAGACCTTGTTTGGACCATTACCCCCTGAAAGCAGAGAGCTGCGGGGAAAAAGCTCCCTGTCCAGCCACCTTCTGAGCCACGGAAGCCCCACAGCTCTCACCTCACCTGCCCATGGGAATCACCTGTCTGGTATACTTGCCTGAGCCCCGTGCCAGACCTTCTGGGTCACTTGGCCTGGGGGCCCTGACAGTGTGCCATCCTCAAAGCTCCCGGCTGATGCTGAGGGGAACTAAGGGTGCGTCCACTGAGCCAGCAAGTGGCTTTTGCTAAACTGAGGAATAAGACAGGCTCCCCTGACAGAGGTAGCCAGGGCCTCCAATCCCTAGCTCCCTAACATCCTTGCGGAGACTCAGTGCCCATGATCTTCACAGCCCCGCCAACGACATCAGTGACACAATGAGATCCTGAGGCAGGAAGGGTAAAGCGAGTTTGTCCAGGTTTTGGCAAGCGATAAATCAAGAGGCCAGTGGGGACCAAACTTCTGCTCCATTGTGCAAGGGACAGCCTCAGGCACTGGACCCTCGGTTAGTTACTGTCACCAAATCAGGACATAATTAATTACTCTGTTTTGAGTTGCTCAGGCTTAATTCCATTCACATGATTAAACTAGGGCATCTTGAAGGAGGAACATTAAAGGAAAAGAGGTGTGATTCAGGCCTTCCTTGGCCTTTAACTCAGGCTGGAATCACTGCTGGCCCAAGGGAACCTTCTTTGTTGTTATTAAAACAACTTTGTGTGGCCCAATTCATTCAGAGATTTCTGATCCTGTTGCCCGCTGCTGGAAAGGCTTCAGGGGCCTCAAAGCTACTATAGGGCCTTGACTCTTGTGACGCTCATAGAAAGATAAAGGAAAATTTTAACCCCTGAGTCTGTACCTCTTGGACTAGGTGGAAATATCACCATGCAGAAGACAGGCTGAGGACACTGCAGGTGCCCAATAAGTATTTGTTGGACTGATTGGTGGGAGGGGGGATGAGCGGATTAACAGATGGAAGAATGGGGGGAAGAGGGGTGGGTCGGTTGAAAAAAAGATGGACAGGATGGACAAGATGAAGAGAAGAAAGGATGGAGAAAGAAGTTAAGAAAGGGAAGAAAGGAGGAAGGAAAGGGAAGGGAAGAGAAGGGAAGGGAAAGGAGGAAGGAAGGAGGGAAGGAGGAGGCTATACTGATAAGAAAATATTGAGAAAAGGAACCTAAACTGGCTTGGGAGTCAGGTGGCAATCAGAATACCTGGTGACAAGAGCTCTTTTACTCCGTTCCCTCCCTCCCTCCCTCCCTTTCTTCTTTCTTCCCTCTATCCATCCACCCACCCACCATCCATTCATCCATCCGTCTACCCACCCATCCATCCACCTACCCACCATCCATCCACCCATCCATCCATCTACCCATCCATCCATCCATCCACCCACCATCCATCCATCTACCCAACCATCCATCCACCCATCCATCCACCCACCCAACCATCCATCCACCATCCATCCATCCAACGGTCTACCCACCCATCCATCCACCCACCCACCCATCCATCCACCCACCCATCCATCCATCCATCCACCCACCATCCATCTGTCTACCCAACCATCCATCCACCCATCCATCCATCTATTATTCAGGCCATCCACCTACCCATCTTCCATCTTCCATCTACTCCCGAGGCCCTCCCTTGTCTGAAGTACTATCTCCAAAAGAAAAGGTCCTTGTGAAAATGTACAGGTCACCTTAAAGGGGAGAAAGAGCCTACCTTTCTTTCCCACATTCTCTTGCCTTCTCACTCGGAGCACTCCCCATGAGTAACCACATCCCTACCCATGGTTCCCTCTCCTACTCCCCACGCGGTTAGCTCCTAATCTCTATTTTGGGTTCAGGCCCTTTCCACGAACCTCTGACCCCTAGCAGCCTTTGGGACTCCTCCTCCTAGATGTTACATGGACACCTCAAACCCAGCATTTCCCACACTAAACTCATGAACTTGGCCCAAATTTGCTGCGTCTCCTGTAGTCTCGAGATCAAGCATGGGTATGCCATCCACCCACTGCCCAAGCAAGAACTTGGCACCATCCTTGACTCTTCTCTTGAAAGCCTAGTCCTTGTCCCGTTGAGTTGATCCCCAAATGTCACCCTGAATCCTGTCATTTCTCTTGCCTATCATCCCCTTAGTGTTGGCCACCATCCCCTCTCTCCTGTGCACTGAAATAGCCCCACACCTGCTCTCCCTGCCCCTGTCTCACTCCCATCCTTCCCTCCATTCCCCAGAGTGGTCATTCTAAAATCCCCAAATATGACCATATCGTCATCCCTCAACTCAAAATGCTTCTGAGGTTTCTCACAATGTCCAAAATCCATAAGGCATCATTAGACGTCTTCCCGTCTCCCCTCCTGCTACATTCCACCTTCCATTCTCACCATAACAAGCAATGAACTCCCCAATGCTCCAGCCCCTCTTTCCTCCAGGCTCCCTTTCCAAACCCACCTGCAACCTCACTCCTTTACCTATTTCTTCGTCATCCTTTAGCTCCCCTTCTGGTGGTCTTCCCTGAACAACCCTTGGTCTGAGTTTCAGTCACTGCTCTCGGCCCCCATAGCAGTCCTGGCTTGTCCTGCTGTGTTCATATTTATGTCTACTTGTTTCTATCTTTCACTCCGCTGACCTTTTTGTGGGCAGTGATGCCAGCACTCAGAATAAGAAGGTCTGGTAGAAAGGAAGAAAGAAGAAAGAGAGGAAAGAGGAGAAAGAAAGAAAGAAAGAAAGGAAGGAAGAAAGAAAGAAAGAAAGAGAAAGAGGAGAAAAGAAAAGAAAAAAGAAAGAAAAGAGAAAAGAAAAAACAAGACAAAACAAGACAGACAAGCTCGTGTCTCTCCTGGAAGAGAGATCTGTGTTTAAGGGACCTGGGTATGGACATTGACTGGACAGTGAAAGGGGACAGTACGAGTCTCCTGATGACAGCTGAGGTCTGGGAGTGAGGGGGCCATGATTCCAAAGGCAGATTGTACTTACCTTTCATGCAAAATCAGGAAGAAATAGCCCCTTCAAAAATAAGAATGCTCATTATTGGTGGAACTAAGAAGGCAGAGGTGGCGACAAATGGGCAGTGAGGAGAGAGCCCCAGGTTGAAATTGCAGGTCTGCCCCAGGTGAGCCTGGAAGGTCTCTCCTCCTCCAGGGGTCATGGATGGGCTCGAGGCCATCAGAGGTCCCCCTCACTGACCCAGTTCTGTCCAAGGCTCTGACTCAGCCACCCTGGTGCCAGGGGCTGGGCCACAGCTGTGATCACACTTCCCAGAGCAGAGCCACGAAGGAGTCAAACGTCAGGAGTTGTGAGTGCATGGAAGAAAACCGTACAACTTACCTGAGAGGATGAAGAAGATGCCGGAGACAAAGGCAAGTATTGTCCTGTGGGGACGGATGTGTCCGATGTTGCTCAGGATAAACCCAATGAACATGAAGAAGAGGCTGACCAGGGGGAATGGTGTGGCCGAGCGAATCATTTCTGATTAAGGGGACAAGAGGACAGCGTTGGCCTCCCATGGCTTTACCTACTTACCTCCCCTCCCAGGTGTTCCTGACAGTGTCTTCCATCTGGTCCCTCAATCCCCCTGGCCTGCATGAGTTTTCTGGGTTCCCTCCCCTTCTTGAGTGGCCTAGGAATCTCCCAGAACTGGCAGGGCTTGCGTCCCTGAGGCAGGGCTGCTCCCAGTCCCTCTGACTTCAAGGGCCAACATGCTTCTATCTTCTCTTCCAGCACAAAATGCTCCCTCCTGGGCATCCAATATGGCAGCCGTGGAAGGGCTGGTCACGCATCTCACTTCCTGTCTTGGGGGCATGAACCCTCGCCATGCACACAGGCATCTCTCTCTGAGGGTCAGAAGAGACAGTTCCTGGCCTCTGTTGTCTTCAACTTATAATTACTTGGGGAACGGTCTGCATAATTGTATCTCGTCTTTGTCCTCCCTGGAGTTTCCCAAGTGAGAAGACTGTCTTCAATATTCATGGCGGGCCCTTTGATAACACCTGAGATTTTTCCAATCAGCTGACTCAGGACAGGGGCTGGAAAGACCAACCACGTGATTAGAAGGTGGGGTTTTGAGCCATGTGATCCAGGCCTGACTCTGGGAAGAGGACGGGGTCTGGAGACCGTGTTCAGTCATGGGCTCACTTGATCCCGCCTCCGTGATGAAGCCCAGTAAATACTCGTCAGCAAAGCCTGGCTGGGGTTCCTGGTTAGTGAACACATCCATGTGTCAGGGTGGCGACTGTCCTGATTTCAAGGAGAGAAGACATGGAGGCTCAACCCTCAGTGCCCTCCCAGATCTGGCCCTATGTGCCTCTTTATCTGAGCTCTTGCTAGTAAAACTGTGATGAGAAGTATAGTGTTTTCTGGAGTTCTGTGACTTATTCTAGCCATGTTTTGAACCTGAGGGCGATCACAGGAACCTTGCTTCTTCCCTCTGCCCTGCTCTGCTCCGTCCAGCCAGGGAGCCAGGTCAGAAAGTCTGAGACACCTACTTAGAACATTGACGGTGGACTCCGACGTCAGCTGGGAGTTCATGGGCATCACGTATTCTATGGTGAAGCAACGTCCCCGCTCTTCCCCTGGGAAGACAAGAATCATTTCCATTTCCACATGATTCTTGAACGTGGATTTGAAGTTAATACGTTCAAATGGTATTCCCAAATGCTCCGCGGAGTCTCTGCCCCACTGGGTTTGCACCTGGGCTGGATCTAAACCTAGGGGGCCCCATCCCTGGCTAGTGACCTGCAGTAGGGGTAGGGACGCCTCCTGACGTCACATCCTTCCTAGAGAAGCAGCCCCATGAAAGTGGACCCAAGCACCAAGAGTCATACGAAACACAGTCTGCACTGCAAACTTGAGGTTGAGGGACACATCTAACGGCCGTCTTGTTGCTCTGGGGCAGACTCAGCTGATGACGGTGCATGGCGGGCTTTGATGGACCAGACCCACCCGCCCCGCAAAGCCTTGTCAATCATTTCGGAAGCCAGATCCTAGTGACTTCAAATTCTCCTTCAGACTTAAGTGGAGACTGGTGCCACATAGTTTAGGGCCATGGGAAGTGAGGTCAAGGTCAGATGCCATTTCCAACATAGACCAACGAGTCACCAGGAGGCCAGGCCTTGAGGTGTGCTCCCTGCTGAATACCGCTGGGCGCCAATCACCACCCTCATTCTCCAAAGCCCCACTTTAAAGCTGGGAGGATCACAGGTTCCCTCTGCCCTGTGTGCATGGAAGGTGACAGGACCCTTCTAGAAAGGCTCAGTGATCACCCTGGGGGGTGGTTCCAGCCAGCTCAGGCTGGCAACCAGTCCTGCAGGACGTGGAGATGTTCGTCTTGTGCAGGCTGGTTCTGGGCCATGATAAAGGGATAAAGACAAAGTGTTTGGAAGAGCAACTCAAGGGTTCTAGAGAAGTCCTCAAGAGCTGGAGAGAGGCCCAGATAGGCAGGAGCAAAACCCGAACCAGCTGGCGGATTTGGAAGGACCTGCATCTGGGTTTTCTCCTCATTTCACGGACTTGGAACAGGGCAACTGTCCGGTATTTCCCATTCTGTAAACCAGTGGACCTGTGACGTCGAGTCAGGGAGACTTGCTGCATCTTCATTTGCTTATTTGTGAAGTGGCAGTAAGTTCTGCCTTAGAGTTTTGTGGGGAAGCACTGGGATCGATAATTCCACAAGCTGAGGCACGCAAGGGCAGCGCCAGACCTGTGGGAGGCCAGCCCCGTTCCGCCTGGGAGGCGGAGTGTGGGGAAGACGTGGCTACATTCATCTCTCAGGTCGGGGGCTGGGGACACAGGTCCCAGGGGATGACAGGACCTGCTCCAGTGGACACTGTGACTCAGGGCTTGAGTTTGGAATGGGCCCTGGTCACTGCAGGGAGCCCCACCCAGAATTCACGAAGTCCGTCCCCGAGGAACTTCCCCCTTCCAGCGGGCGTCTCTTCCCAGCTGTCGGGGGAGCGGGGGGCTGGGGAGGCTCTCGGGCAGGTTTTCCTGGGGTGGGGGCAGAGGCTGCTCCTCTCTCTGGGGCAGGGCCGTCCCAACCTGGGGTGCGCTTACCTGCGATGAAGCAGACACGCCACAGGCCCGAGTGCAGGGACATCTTGATCTCCGTGCTCTGGTTCTGGGGCAGGACCACGCCCTCCTCCAGGTAGAGCCAGTAGTCGGTGCTGACGGCGATGCCCAGGAGCCCCAGGCCACAGACGGCAAAGACGCTGCTCAGCAGGGTCAAGGCCTTCCTCCCACAGCCACTCATCTTCCCAGAGGTCGCCGGGTGGCCTGCGGCCAAGGAAGCGGGCTCTGGAAGCAGGAGAGGGAGGGAGCGGACCGTAGCAGCCACAGCTCCGAGGAGGCCAAGATGTGGGGCCTGGGGGAGGAAACTCAAGTCAACCCCGTCTGGGTAACGAACAAAGACCCACAGGCCACTATGGGGGTGCTTCCTCTCTCCCCCTCAGGAATGCACAGCTTCCTGGACAGGCTACTTCTCCCTTTCCTCTCTGGGAGCGCTCGCTCATGTGCAGCAACGCGCTCCATCCACACGGAAGACAAGAGAAGCAACACTTTCCTTGCCCTCGAAGGGTTCCCATTAGAAGGACAAGGTACCCCCAGCACAACTGAAAAATGCAGCTTGAGATCTCCCCGACAGCCTGAGGAGAAACGGAGGCATGAACTCTGCTGGGGTGGACTTCTCTGTGTTAAGAAGGACTCTGAGGTTCAAACGCACCTTGACAGAGAGCATCAGGATCCAGAAGGGGAGGCAGCAGCAGCCTGAAGAGAAGAGAGAGGGGCAGAGAAGGCCCCTTGGAAAGGTGTCTTCCTCACAGACTCTAATCAGTTCTGGGTCAGCCCCAGCCAAGAAGCCACACCACAGCCCAAACCCAGGGGGCCTCTAGAACCAGCAGACCTGGCCGGCTCGGCTGAGGGATTCTGGGGCAGTTGGCCTCCGGTGGTGGGGGGCGGTAGGGGCAGCCTGCAAGTGCTGTCCGCCGCCGCTCTATCGTGCGGCCCACGTGGAGAAAGACTGATCCTTGCTCCTCTGACTGTGACCCATGGACCGGCGGCATCGGACTCACCCCAGAGCTTGTCAGAAAGTCAGAATCCAGGACCTTCCACCTTTCTAAACCAGAACCTGCATTTTAACAACATCCAGGTGAGCTGCGGATCTGCGGAAGTCTGCGAGGCTCTGTGCCAAGCAAAGAAGCAGCACGCTACGGTGCAGTAAAGGTCATGATGGGGGAAAGCCGGGATGTGACGGGCGCCCCGGAGAGGGTCATCTAGGGGGCTGCAGGGGGCAGGCAGAGCCATTTCTAGAAAGGAGGGCAGCGGCGGGCAGGGCCAGTCGGCTGAGACGCAGGGACCTCCCCAGCTGAGCCCGCTGAAAGGGGACAGAACCTGTGCTCAGGTCAGGAGGCTTGACTTGTCCAGGGAAGTCTGCGCCTGCTGTGGGAGCGGGGCGAAGGAAGAAGTGGGGGAGAATGGGTGCTCTTTGCCCCAATGGGGGATGAACTGACCCCAGCTCCTTAGCCCCGGCTCTGCCCTAGCAGCTGACTGTGGGAGAGTTGACTCGGCTACGGAATGAGCCCCACGCTTCTTTCTTGGAGGCCTGGGTGAGAGCCTGGGAGCAGGGGAGGCTGCAGAGCATTGTCCTTCCTGAATCGGCTTTGACAAAGGAGGGAAGAATAAAGTCCCAAACAGCCAGCCCCACCAACAAGCCAAGTTGTTGTCCGCGGGCCATGGGGTGGGAGACGGAGCAGGATGGCTTGGCTCCCTACTGGGTTATAGGCGCCTAATAAAGCACCTGCTCTGTGTAGGGGGCCCTGTGCTTCCGTGCTCGGTGCTGTGGACAAGGCAGGGGAAGCAGGGACCGTCGCTTGCAGAGTTTATGAGCTGGAAAAGTAGCAAACAGCAGCCTCATGACTAGGACCCCAGGGAAGGGGCTGGTAGGACTGCCAGGATGGGTGGTGACAAGGTAATGACAACTGAGACTTTAGTACATACACTTTGTGGTCCTTGCACTCACTTCTGAGGCTCACAAAACCCCAATCTGCCAGAGGGAAGGGAATTAGAAGCCAGGGGTGGTTGGGGGGTAAGGGAAGGAGAGGAGAACAAAGGGATTCGATCCCCAATGAGAATAAGAGCTCTGTACATTGAGAGGAGCCCTGAAGTGAGAGGTGGGGCGCCTGGACACAGCCCGGTCACTAACTAGCTGTGTCATGCTGAAACAGTAACCTTTCAGAGGGCCATTTTTTTTCTCTAAGAGAATAACAATAAAAGCCAAAGTGTATTGAATGTTCTTCATTGTTAGGTACTCTGCTAAGCACTTGACTCTCTCTTTTAATCCTTATGGCTGTGTTACCATCCCCATTTTATAGGTGAGCAAACTGAGGATCAGAGAGGTTAAGAAACTTGCCTGAGATCGCTCAGCTAGCAAGTGGTGGTGCCTGCCTTTACACTTCACTTTGCCTCATTCCCAAAACCTTTCCTGTGCCACCGCTAGGAGTGTTTTCCAAAGTGGGTTCTGTGGAGCATTATTCTAGTAAAAAAGACTCCAGTGGGGGAAAAGCATGGGAAGCACCGCACCTAGGTCTGGAAGAATCACGCTGCCTGTTAACGTTTCAGGACTGAAAAGCTTGTGCAGTTTAGCTCATTTTGGTGTTTTCCAAACTCCTGTGTCCACAAAATGGCGTCTGTTTCCATGGGACCCACTTTGGGAACACTGCTGCCCCCCATGAAGAATGCTAAGCTCTCACCCCATCACTCCAGGAAATTGCTGGGGGATTAAATGCAGCTCAGACAGTGTGCTTTGCGAGGAATTAGCGTCACACGGCAGTGGGGTAACCAGCCCCCGTCCTTGCAGGGGGCACAGATCAGGGCTTCAGAAACATGACAGCCAGCGCCTCACTGGGGCTGAACAGCCAATTTTAACAGTAAGCTTGGCAGAGAGACAAAAAAAAGATTCAGATCTGAGAAGTCTAGGAAGGGGAGGGTAGGGAGGAGATTGGAGCTGAAGCCGTACATGCAGGAGAGAAAGGAAGAGGCAGAGGCTGACCCACTAGCCACACTGCAGGAGCAGATCGTGAAGCCTGGGGTGAGCTTGGGCAAAGGGACAAGACCCTTTCAGAGTGTGTAACAAATCCATGCAACGTGGCACAGAGCGAGAAACGGTCCTCTTACTTATCACACAGTTGTATTTGCGCTTCTGTTACGAGATCGCATTTTTGTACAAATAAATACCATGGGCTGAGGGCTGAAAAGCCCTTTGTGCACAGTACCTCATTGGGACCTCACGACAACCCCGTGAGTAGTAGGTGGTGTATGCCCCCATTTCATGGATGGGGAAACTGAGGCTCAGATATGTAATGCAGCCTACAGGACGTCACAGGTGGGTGACACCTGTGACCTGAGATTGATTTAAATTTAGGTCTAATTCCCAAGTCTATGCTCTGGCTACATCATCTCCCTACTGCAGAAATAAACAGGTTCAAGAAACTTGGGGTTATGGTGCCTGGGTGGCTCAGTAGGTTAAGCCTCTGCCTTCAGCTCAGGTCATGATCTCAAGGTCCTGGGATTGAGCCCCACATCGGGCTCTCCGTTCAGCAGGGAGCCTGCTTCCTCCCCTCTCTTTGCCTGCCTCTCTGCCTACTTGTGATCCTCACTCTGTGTCAAATAAATAAATAAAATCTTAAAAAGAAAAAAAAAGAAATGAAACTTGGGGTGAAAAGGCACATCCAGAGCAGGTCCCTGGGGAATCTAGAAATGGACACAACACAGTGTCTCAGAAGCTTGTCTTTGGAAACAGCCAAACGTTACATGAAGGCTGACACTCCTGACACTCCTGGATTTTCTTTGGGGGAGTCAGCCGGCATATCTGCTCATATTGAGAGGCGAACTCTCACCCAGCATTTCTGATTCCCCAAAACCTCCTTTCAGGGCGGGAAGACTAACGCTTTCCTCAAAACACGCTTAAGAAAACCAGGGTCCAGAGGAGACATTTACCTGAGATCGCACGGCCTGTTCCGTGGAGGGACAAGAGTGTGAACTGGAAATCTGAATGCTGATGCAGTGCTTTTCTCTCTGTGCTGTATGGGGTCGGACTCGTGCACTTGCCCGCTCTGAAAGCACCACCACCGATCGATCCCGTCTTAGTTCTGAGCCGGTCTCGCCTGTGACTGCGTGTGCACACAACTTCTTCCAGGCAGGGTCTTCAGTGGGCGGAGCAGTGGTCTCCCCAAGACTCTCGGGTCCGGAATGAATTCCTAGTTCCTGCACAGTCTTTGCTTTTCCGCGGCCGCTTCTCCTTCTCACGAATCCTCTCCCTCGGCTGCAACATCCAGTTGATTTTTCTGCTGGGGGAGGCAAACCTTTTTTTGGTAAGTTGCTACCACCAGACAAGACATTTATGCTATGATATTAAATGAATAAAGCTGGAGGTGAAACCCCGAACCCCGCGTTTGCCAGGAGATCAACTCTGAAACAAATTCATAGGCTGGGAAGGAATAAACCAAAACGTTGATGGTGGATATTTCTAGGTCCTAAGGTTACGTGTATGGGATTTTCTTTACGCTGTTCTGGGCTCGACAAAGCTTCTAAAAAAAACCCAAAACCAAAACCAAAACACAACAAAACAAAAAAACACTCATATATCAAGAGAAGAAAACTAAAGATCAGAGTCATCAATCGTCTGATCACTGCCCTTGTAAACAGCAATGGAAGGGCCCCAGTTAATTTCTGGGCTAGAGATGCCAAAATGCAGTGTCTTCCCTTGGAGCGTGGGGCTCAGAAGCACAGCAGCTTCGAGCCTTTAAGATGATTGTCCTGGTGCCATTACCTTTAAGAATTAGCTTGTTAATTATCAGGAATTAACAGTCGCTAATTATCATCTGTGACTAGCAATTAGGGAGAAATGTCTCGGGGAGATTAAATCAGTAATGGCACATCTCTCTGCCCAAGCTGATAGTTAAGGCTTAGGTGCTCAGAGACAGGTGAGCTTAAGGGCACGAGTGAGAGCCCAGCTGGAGAACTGGGAGTGTGTCCAGCAGGGTGGACAGGGTTTAACTGGGGAGGAGAAAATATGTGGAAGGAGACTCCAATGCAGACATCCTGATCTCAGTTTCCCACGAACACAGAGAAAATCCAGTAGTGCTTGATGAAGGGTTGGGGGTGTGGGGGTTCTCGACAGGGCTTCCGGGCAGTTACAGCAGCTGCTCCTGTGGGTGGGGCTGGGTGGCTCAGCGTCAGCTTGGCCCACACCCAGCAGAATGAGCTGGTGACCCGGGGACAGCCCCCAGTGGCCCTGTGGCTCTGCTTGCTTCCCCTCGTACTGATCCCCCATTACATTCTATGGTGGCGAAAAAGCGACCACAAATTCTTTGACACTCCTCCCATTGAGAGGTGGGACCCACAGCCCTGTCCTCCCCTCAAGTCTAGGCAGGTTTGTGATGACTTGGACCAACAGAGTCCATGGAACTGCCATCATAAGACTGGGTCACAGGAGGAAAGGCAGTTTCTGCCCGGTTCTCTGGGGAGACCCTGCAGGGGGAAGCCAGTCCCCAGGTGAGAAGTCTGAGTCCCCCAAGATCACCAGGCTTTGGAGCAGAGTTTCTCAACCTTGGCCCTGTTGACATTTTGGGTTCGACGCATCCTTGTGGTGGGGAGCTGGGATGTGCACGGCATGGTGGTCAGCAGCATCCCTGGCCACCACCCGCCAGAGGCTAGTGCACCTATTGTACTAGACAGAGATGCCCCTGGGTGGCACAGTCACCCCTGGCTGAGAACCACTGCCCTGGAGACCATGAAGAGATGTTCCGATTGACAGCCTGAGCTGAGCTCCCAGCCAAGGGATTGGGCCACTATGGATGCCCCACCCAGTTGAGCTTTCAGATCACTGTAGCCCCTGCCCAGCCTGACAGCATCTGCAGGACAGACTCCAAACAAGAACAGCCCAGCTGAGCACTTCTCAAATTCCTGACCCGCCAAATATGGTCATTGTTTTTTGTTTTGTTTTGTTTTGTTTTTCAGGGGCCTGAACTCAACAACCCTGAGACCAAGATCCGAGCTGAGATCAAGAGTCGGATGCTTAACCGACTGAGCCACCCAGGTGCCCCTGGGATTTGGTGTCTTATATCATCGCATTCTGAGGTAATATGTTCTACGGCAGAAGTTACCAAAATAACTATTACTCATTTAATTAGCATCTCCTTCTCACTGGCTAAGTAAGACAGAAATCTCAGGTGGCCTGAGGGTCATAGTTTAATCCTAGAATTTACAGCTGTGTTGGGGAGTGAATGGCACACGGACTTTGGGATCTGACAGGTCTGAGCTGGAATGCCAGTTCTCCCATGTCACATCCTGGGTAAGTCACATGACCACTCTGAACCTCGGTATCTTCATCTGTAAAACAGGGAAAGCTTCAGAAGGATTGTTGTGAGGATTTACACAAGTGTAATCAAATAAGGCTGGGCCACCTCAGGCCATCTCTGTACAATGCTGCAGTCAGGAAGTCCCACCGCCTGACTCCCAAAGAGCAGTGTGCAACAAGGCAGAATTAATAAGGTGCATCTGTCCCTGAAAAGGGTCAAAATGTCCCAGACTTTTCCATCTCCATCCAGTTCTCCAATTTCCCTCTTATCATGGCAATTGCCGCCTACAGAATTGCCTTCGTTTCTATCTCTGCCAAACACCAACCCTATCTTACCTCCCTATCATCTAAGGCATTTGGATGGGAGAGATTTTAAGATCTTCACACTCAATGAGCTAAAGTGCTCTGAATGGTCATGTAAAGGGTGTCTTCCTGGTGGGCACGGTGGTGTTTCTGTAGACACAGATAATACATATAACATTAGCAAATGTGTATGGAATATTTAAGGGTCAAGCACATTAGAGGCTCAGCATCAGAAGGAAGTGGGTCACATGAAGACTTGAGACATCTAGGCATTGAAATAAACAGGTGGACATGTAATAACATATAAAACCCAACAGCTATAATACAGTTGGAAAATATAACGCTGTCTATGTAGCAACCAAATGGTAAACTATAGGGGAATAAACTTAAGTTATGTGTTAGTGCTGTATAAAGAAAACCTCCAAACTATCAATAAACATAAAAGACAACTCATAAATAAAATAATATATCATGTTTTTAGGTAGGGAGACAATGTCATAAAAATGTCAACTATCTCTAAATTAATTGATGAATTCAATGCAATGAGTTCTCTTTAGAAAAATGACATATGAATCTGGGGTTAGAATAATAAAAAGCACTTGAGAGGAGACTTAGAGCTTTTTTTGTTTTGTTTTGGTATTTGTTTTTTTGTGTTTTTTTTTTTTTTTGTTTAGAGAAGGAGAGAGGGAGAGAGTGAGTGGGGAGAGAGAAAGAGAATCTTAAGAGACTCCGTGTCCCACACAGAGCCTAATTAAGTGCTTGATCTCAGAACCCTGAGATCATGACCTGCACCAAAATCAAGAGGCAGACGTTTAACTGACTGAGCCATCCAGGCCCTCCTGAAAAATCCTTTTAAAAATAAAGATAGGGGCGCCTTGGTAGCTCAGTGGGTTAAAGCCTCTGCCTTCAGCTCAGGTCATGATCTCAGGGTCCTGGGATCAAACCCCGCATCAGGCTCTCTGCTCCGCAGGGAGCCTGCTTTCCCCCTCTCTCTTTGCCTGCCTCTCTGCCTGCTTGTGATCTCTGTCAAATAAATAAATAAAATCTTTAAAAAAAAATAAAGATAGATGAATGGGACCTGCCAGATATTTATGCTTCCTGTGTAGCTACAACAATTAAAACAGATTGTCAATGAAAAAATAAAATAAAACAAATCATTAAATGAGAGTAAAAAGAGATATTTAGATTTCCATTTCTGGATATGATGAACTAGCTTGTATTAGACCAACCTTCCTGTGAAAATAACTAGAACAGCTTTGTAAAATGAAAAATATCTATTTGAACACATTGTAGAGGAATTAGAGAAACCAAGATTTTAGAGGTCGAGACATGAAGATAAAGGAAATGCACTGACATAAGCCCAACATGTTGCACAACTTTTCCACTTGAAGCACATGTCAGTTCATTCAGAATGTGGGTCTGAGAGGCTAAGAAAAAGTCTATGAGGATCTTACAGCAGACACGTGTGCTACAAGGGTCAATAATCAGTGTTCAGGCATCACCAAGTAGGGCAGACCTGATAAATAGCCCAATCTTTCAAACAGAGGACCTGGGACAGCTTACACTGCAGGTGAACAAGAGATCAGCTTCCACAAGACTGAAGCCTATTTCAAATCAGCTCAATTCACGATTGGATGTAGGCAATCTTCTCCGATTAAACAGACTGCTAAAAACAAAAAAAAGTAAATCCTATTTGGGGGATGATAACACCACTAAGAACTTCTAGAATTTTCCATTAAAATGTGTAGTGTTCACTCAAAAATTACAAGACACATCAAGAGGCAAGACTTCGACAAAACAAAAGAGACATCAGAAATAGCAATGATGCTAGTCATGATATAACACAATGACACTTTTTAAAGTGCTTTAAGAAAGCAGTTGTCAACCTAGAATTTCATACCCAGCAAAAATATCCTTCAACATTGAAGGTGAAATAAAAATTTTTTTTTTCAGAAAAATAAAAACCAAGGAAATCTGTCATCAACAAATTTGCATCAAAATAAATACTTGAGGCACCTGGGTGACTGGTGGGTTAAGCATTTGGCTTTGGCTCAAGTTGTAATCTCAGGGTCCTGGGATTGAGCCCCATGTTGGGCTGCTCAGTGGGGAGTCTGCTTCCCTGCTCCCTCTGCCCTTTCCCGTACTCATTTTCTCTCTCTCTTTCCCTCCCTCTCTCAAATAAATAAATACATCTTTAAAAAGTACTCAAGAGATTCTTCAAGCAGAGTGATCTGGTATCAAAGCACAGAAATGAGGAAAGGAGAAAGAATGAAAAGGGTAATTATGTGTGTAAATCTAAATAAAATAGCATAAAAAGGAAAAATAAACTATCTTGTGGATTTAAAAATGTATGTAGAATTACTCTGATACTAATGTGCCTTTCTTTTCCCTCTTTTAAGATTTTCTCTTCATTGAAC